CTTCATTTAGGGCTCTTTACTTGATGTGGGATATTATTTACACATGATTTAGTGTATCTGCCTAGCTAATTAAATTCTCTCTCTCTTTAGGATGTGTAATTCATTAATAACAAGCTTTTATTGGGTCTAGATTATCTTTTGAAAAAGGAAATGGGAATAAGCAATCAACTTCAGGCTCATGAATCAGCCTGGATCAGTTCCTGGGAGACCTGGGCTCCCTGGGGTCTAGCAGCCATGCCCTGTCGCACAGCAGAGGAGTGCATTATGCTTCTACCCCCACCCCAATGCTGCCGTCTGATCCCAGCTACATGCAGGCTGACCCCACTCTTCCCAGCATGGCTGTGGGAGGCAAGTGGTTAACCCTCCCTTCACCCCAGACGGCTTCCCCTCCTCCAAACATGGCAGAGAACCCAGAAGCCCAGCAGCCCTGCTCAAGAGCAGACAGAGGAAGCCATAAGAGTACAGACCTCAGGGATCCCGCCCCTGGAGAAGAAAGAACGCAGGTCTCTGGGACCCCCGGCCAGAACCACGTGAACCCAGGCATCTGGCCCTGGGGCTTGGTGGTGTCTAGCAGGCACCAGGCTCTGACCAGTCTCACCCAACCTGGGCACACGTGTGGGGTGCGGTGCATGTGCAAAGTGCATGAACACATACTGACCACTGGCTGCTTTACCACTATCCAGGAGGAGCACAAACCGTCTTGCAGATGCTTCCTCAGCCTGACCAAGGGTGTGTGTGCCCGACAGCTTGCTAAGAATTTTTCCAACTATTTGAGTTGGTCTCATAAAAGATATCAGATTTATCCAAAGAACCTTGTCTGCCAAAGTGCATGCATGTATACACACAAGGAGTGCGGTGCACGTGCAAGGATACATGCACATACAGTGGGGGGAGGGGGCTCCCTGCAGCTGCGGAGGGAGGCAACTCAGGCTACCCTTATCAAAAATGGCCACTATGGTGGGATTATATACAAGCAACCGATCATGTGGCCCTGCCAAGATGGCTGCCACTCCAGTCCCTGCCCCTTAGTAAAAATGGCCACCCTACTCAACCTGCCACTTTCAAGCATGGCCACTTGCTTAGTAATGAACCTGGCAACTCTCAGCCAGTAGGGTGGGGCTCCGGGGCCACTGGCCAATAGGGAACAGTGAGGGACAGTGCAGTGCTACCGCACATGGGGTGGTCTCCCACACTTGGGTTACACCTAGGGCTCTGGAGGGGCTGGGTCTCAGATGCCTGGGTCCTGCCCA